AACCATCCGGTGCAGGTCTCTCCGTCCAGGACGCCGGCGTGTTACCGTGCTCGGACTCGGCGGAGGTTGGCGTGGAGAGGAGGAGGCGGACTGGTTGCTGTAAGGTGGTGTCCAGAGCCCAGTTTGTGACGGAAAGGCCTCCCTCTTTGCGGCGGTTTGGCGAACCAGTTGTAACACGCCGGACCTCGGTGACCAGGTTGGAGGCCAGACCGGCGAGCTGGGAGGGGACACCGCCGCCTCTGGAGGCACTCCGCCCTGGGGGAGGAAGAGTTCCCATTAGGTGGCCTATTAACTGGTTCTCCAGGCTGGACGCTTGGTACCACCCTCCCACTACTAACACTTCCTGGTTATACGAGATTATTTAAGTATTATTTTTTAAAGAATTATTTTGGATTTATTTCTGAGATTATTTCGAGATATTTAAGTCGTATCTTGGAGATTTTATAGTCCATTATTTTAAGATATTAAGTCCAATATTTTAAGATATTAAGTCATTTTAGTTTATCGAATTTTAGATATTAAGTCAATATTTTGTAAGATATTAAGTCCATATTTAAGATATTAAGTCAATATTTTAAGATATTAAGTCATTATTTTGGCGGTAATGATCTTCCGTACCTCTGTCTCAGTGATTTTGGTGTCTCACCTGTTGCACTCCTCCACTAATCCCTCTCTCTCCTCCTTGCTGGGGTTCTTCTGCCGATCGTAGGCGTGAAAGAGGATCTGCAGGGACGCCGGACCCCACTTGAACCGGTTCCTGCGGCCCTTCCTGATGTCCTCTCCCGGCTCCTCCGCAGACGCCAGGCCATGTTTGGCATTGGTGAACTCTGAAAGGTAATAAACATTATATATCTGTTATCTAACTGAGCCTCACACTCTCAGGTGAGTTCTGATCGGAGGACCGGATACGTCGGGTACTCACGCTGGCTGATCTCGCACTGCTTCTTGACGTACCAGGTGTACAGCGCCGCTCTCTTCTGGTTCTTCATGGGCGTTCCCTTGTTCAGGTGCTGGGACAGGTGGGACTGGTTGAGACCCGTGGACTCTACCACCTCTCTCTGGGGGAGGTTGTGCTGCTGCATGTAGCTCTTCACCATCTTCGCAACGTGCCAGGGATCCCCCCTACCGGACAGAGACATCACATCTGTACCTGCCCGACTTACTGGGTATTATTCTACATTTCTAATATTTCTAACTGTTAAAGGACCAGCGTGTCTCTAACCAGATCTAACTGATCTTTTAGGTTTTATTCTGGTAGTTTTCAGATCATTCAGATCCAGATAGAACCAGGATCGGGATCACAGAGTCTCACAGTCTTTGGTTGGAAAAAAACTAAAGACATTTCCTGTTTATTTTAATCAGTTCTGTAAGTAAACAACGTTTTCAGTTCTTGTTTCTTCACTTTACAGTTTTTAAATCTGATCTGGATCAAATTTGGGTATTTCAGAACCTGATCCTATAAAATGAGGATTGGTTAATCCAGGATCCAGATCACGTGTTGTTTTTGAGTATTTCCAAACTCTAATTATAGTTTTAATGCTAAAAATGTGGATTGAAGGAAAACGGTTGTTATAGTTCACTAAAACTAAAACTAAAAACTAAAAGTAGGTGTGAAACAGAATTTTAGTTAAATTAAATTAAAAATAAAAACTAGACTTTAGAAAAAAATGAAAACTAGCTGAAACAACATCATGAACTTACAGAACGAACTAAAATACAATATAAATATATGAATATATATTGTTAACATCCTTATTATAATAAAAAAAAACTAAAATTAACACTGAAACTAAACAATTGTAATCAATAATGCAGATAAGTGAATATCAAGAACGTATAATATAATAATATAATGTAACAAACTGATTGTTACTGATAATATAAAATGTTGTATTACTTTTTATTGTTACAGATGGAGGTCTAAGACTGTGATCCTGATCCTGATCCTGGTTCTATCTGGACCAGAATAATCTGAGTAAAAACCTACAAGATCACTTTCATCTGGGTGAGTTTACACCTAGTTTCAGTTTTTAGTTAATAAATCCACGTTGGATCATCCTGATTTGGGATATTTAGAGTTTGTAAATATCCAAAACAACATTTAATCTGGTTTCTGGAACTTCTGGAACGTATTTTACAACTTTCTTTAAGTACCAGATGTTGTTCTCTGGAGACTTTCAGATCCAGACTGATTACAAACTAATGAAAACAAACCTGTGAATATAACATTTCTGACACACTGGACCTTTAAACTCTGTCTATAATAGATCTCCACAGGCTCAGTTTGTCACATAAAGCTCAGAGGGAAGTGGAGAGCGGCTTGTTGACAGAGCGAGATAAGGGAGAGTACTCGGGGCCAAAGTCCGGACCCCAGATCACTGGAGGGGAAAAACATGTAAAAGGTTTATGAAGCCTAATTTAACACTTTCTAACTGTCGGTGCAGAAGCAGAAACGCACAGAAATCCATCAGTTTATTCAGTAAAACGCGTTTTTAAACAGACATTTGAATTAAAAACACACAAAGTGTCTGTAAAGTTTATTCCAAACGTCAGAAAACAGGTTTTAAAGATTGTTTGTTCGTAGGTAAACACAGCCTCTCACATGGCCTGGCTCCATTAATCTCCACCTGTGCACGCTGCAGCTTATTTATTAAGAAAAAAGGGCCAGAGAATAATGATGAGGGTGGGTAATTAGTAACTAGCAAAGGAGGAACCCTCTTTAAAGAGAGAGGGAGGAATCTGTGAGTACTCACTGCAGGAGCTGGTCCACTTCAGCCCTCAGCTTGGCCGACTCCTCCGGGGGAAGCTTCTCCAGGTCTCGGAAGATCGGCGGTGGGAAGTCCATCTCCCCTTCCTCAGAGCTCTCGCCGCCGTCGCCCCTCTCGGCGCCGACGCTCGCCCTCTCCCGCTCCAGCTCCCCGACGGCTTGCACCAGGACGTCCCGGGACAGGCCGGACCCCAGCAGGGCCCAGATCAGCTGCTCCTGAAGGGCGGTCAGACGGCTCGGCCTCGCCTCGGCCGCCGCGGGCCTCTCCTCCGTCCTCTCCTCCATTCGCTGTGACTCGCCTCAGACTAAACGTCTCGTGCACGCTCAGATGACGGGCAGCCTAGGGCCTCATTATACTCGCAGTCCCCCTCTTCAGCTCCGGAGAGTGGATACTTTCATTTTCCCGTTCAATCTCCTCCCGACGTGTCCTGAGCTGCCTGGTGTTTCGCTCTCCACCTGCTGTTTTGCTTTCAAAGGTCAATTTTCTTTTTTTTTTAGCCTTCCTCCTCTTCACCCCCTCCTCCTCCTCCTTACGAGCGCCCTGTGACCTTTGTCCCCGCTCTCTCGGTCCCCAACAGCGACCAAAGTGCAATTTAAAAACAGTGAATAAAAGCGAGGGGGGGGGGCGCGTTACAGGAACAGTTTTTATGTCTCCAGGTGTAAATATTTCTGCTTCCACAGAGACTCACACTGAAGCTCCTCTCACACTTTTGTTTGAATTGTTGGTTTATTTAAAACAATAATGCTGAAGCACACAGTTAAAAATGTCAAAATAAAAGCACAGAGCAACATATAAAGAAGATTCACTGAGCAGGAACATGATTGATGTGTCCTAAGCGCCACTAGAGGGCACCGTTGTGTTGTTTCTGCCTCTGAAGGCTCTGGTTTTTGTCCCTGAAGCAAACACAGAAGATCAGCACTGTGACAGCTTTTTAAAGTCAGTGTCTCCCATAATTTTGTATTTTTTCTAAAAAAATTTACTTTTATCTCATAACTTTAACTTTTTAGCTCATAATTTTCACTAAACGTGAACATTTTGTCATTATCAAAGTTAAGTTTTCATTTATTTTTTTTTATTTTTCTGGCAGAAATGGGCTTCCATACAAAACAGTAATAATACAAACAAACAGTATTCTCCAGTTATTATTATCAGTAGTTTCACACTATTCAGTGTTTGAACATGAGTTTAGTTCTGAAGTAAAAACTGGAGCGTTCAGAACTTTAATTATCAGGAGCCAGGAAGTTCTGGAACAACTGGTTTAATCAACAACGTGATGTCTGATGTTTATTGTGTCAAAATTGTACTTGAAAGTCAGGTGAAATTTCATTTATGTAGCCCAAAATCACAGTTTACCTCAGCAACTTTACAATCTGTACAACAGTCAACATCCACGAGGGGTCGCCAGAGCGTCACAGGGGGCCACACAAGGCCTTCAGTCTCTGATCAACAACCTCGTCCTGCGTTAGAAAACAACCAGAGAGCTGAACAATGAGAAGAAAACAGTGAATCTGTCAGAAAAGAAGAATATTAAGTCTGTATGATTGTTAAAAATAATTAAAATACAAAATATAGACAGAGAACTGTATAAAAATATCAGGAAAACTCATCTCTGATCAATATTACAATATATAATAACAATATAAAGCTCTGGTTTTACACAAACTTCCTGCTGTTATTGTTATTATTAAATATAATATGAAATAAACATAAAATACAGTCTATTTACTCACTGATAGAAAAGTGAAAAAAACTGCTTTAGTAAAGTAAAAGTATAAAGTATCATAAAATGTAAATAAAAACAAGTCACTGTAAATACAAATATCTCAAAATGGAAAACTTGTATAGGACTGTATATTATAATACTTTGTATTAACTTAAGAACTTTGTAACCTCTAGTTTTAATAAGTGCTACACAAGGTTACTATAAAGTATATTATAGTTATTATATAAGTAAAAACTAACTGAAACAATATTGTGTTACTTAAACTAAAGTGAAATATACAGATAAGTCCAGAAATTCTAATTAGTCAACACAATTGCTGTTATTGTTATTATTAAATATAATATGAAATAAACATAAAACCAGGATATCTACTACAACAACTTAAAGCTGCAGTGGGTAACTTTGATAAAATAACTTTTGTCATATTCACTGAAACTTTCACTATATCCTGACAGTAGAACATGAGACAGATAATCTGCCTAGTGGCGATTGTAAGAATCCACCGAGCCCGAATAAAAACAACCAATCAGAGCAGAGAAAGAGGTTGATTGTTGACTCTCAGACCAGGTTCCAAAGTTTATTTGATCACCTGGGAACGAGTCCAGGTGTACGACAGAGTATTAGGGCCATACTAAGAAAAAAATACATTTTATTTTTTTGGAAATTATGAGAATAAAGTCGTAATAATACAAGAATAATGTATTGTTTTAATGAGAAAAAAGCTTCGATAGAGTTATCAAGATCTGACGTGAGCAGCTCAACCAATCAGCAGCCTCAGCCTGAGCCCAGCAGCTGCTGTTTGTCTCAGTCGTACCGT